AATTAGGAGCCATTAGAAGTTTCTAAACACTGAGAAGTGTTATATGATGAGTTGTTGTTGTTATGTGCCGTCGAGTCGCTTAGCAGAGTTTAATTAATATCAATATAAAGTTTTATGTCCAGCCTGTATATCTCTTAAGTGCATCTGTTCTTTCTGTCCTCTAAATTAAATGAAGAGCATCCCCATAAAAGCATGATTGGAATTGTTTTGATCAAATAAATTATATCTACTTAAAGGCTGTAGTCAAGCCATTCCTTAACATTCTCTTCTTTTGTTCTTGAGCCTTCATTCATAAATATGCTTTCCATTAATAATTTTTATCACTCTTCTCAGAATGAATTTCTTTCTGCCCCCTCCCCTCCATTTTCAAAATATCACTGGTCAAAACTAAATAATCTGTTACTAAGCTGTGTTTCTACTCTGGTGCAGAATATAGGGGTAAGATTAGTAATCAGATTCTCTTTTAACACCTGACTTTATGAGTGTAGCTTTCCACAATGTCATCATATTTAATTTGACAGCTATTGGCATCTGACTTGTTTTTTTTTTATAAATTATTCCTAGCTCTTCTGATTTGTATAATTGTGTAACCCCAGTGCACATGCTCTTTTGTTTCCAATATGGTTATTTTTACATTTTTAAAGACCATTTAAAACGTTTCATCCTCTCAGGATATTGCAAAAGTGCCTCCCAATATTTAAATGCATTTGAAAATTTGATACACACCTAGGATACAGGGAAGATGAAAATGTTTTTATTACTCTTTTTTGCATAAATATAAAAGGGGGGCCAAAACAGATACAGAGAGAATTATAGTAGGAAGAATTAAAATAGGTTAAAGAGGTAAGATAGCAGGCCCATTCTTAAATGAAGCCCGAAGTCCAGAAGAAATAAGAAAATCAGAGAGAACTATGATGAAGTGGTAAGACAGGAATAAGTTGAATTTAAAAGCTTAAAAAAGGTTTTAAATATACCTTAAAAGATTAGTGGGACATTTTTGTCATTTACACAAAGTAAGACTATATAAATATAGACTAGTATTGTTGCTGATGTGAGATGGATCTTGGCTGAAAGCAGAGAATACCAGAAGAATGTCTACCTGTGTTTCATTGATTATGCAAAGGTATTTGACTGTGTGGATCATAACAAACTGTGGCTGACTCTGAGAAGAATGGGAATCCCAGAACATTTAATTGTGCTAATGCGAAACCTATACTTGGACCAAGAGGCAGTAGTCAGAACAGAGCAGGGTAACACTGCATGGTTCAAAATTGGGAAGGGTGTACGCCAGGGATCCATCCAGTCTCCATACCTTTTCAACATGTATGCAGAGCAGATTATCCGAGAGGCTGGGCTCTATGAGGAGAATTGTGGCATCAGGATTGGTGGAAGATCTATTAACAATCTGCGTTATGCAGATGACACAACCCTGTTTGCTGAAACTGAGGAGGACCTCATGCACTTGCTGCAGAGGGTCAAGGACTGCAGCCTTCAGTATGGACTGAGGCTCAATGTCAAAAAGACAAAGATTCTCACCACTGGACCAATTGGCAGCGTCAGGATGGATGGCGAAGAGATTGAGATTGTTCACAGCTTCAGTTTGCTCGGCTCCACAGTCAACACTCTTGGCACCAGCAGTCAGGAAATCAAAAAGCGTATCACAATGGGAAAGTGCTGTTAGGGACCTCTCTAAAGTACTCAGGAGCAACAGTGTCTCTCTGGAGACTAAGGTGTGCCTGATACAGGCCATGGTCTTTGCAATCGCTTGTTATGCATCAGAGAGTTGGACAATGACTAGGGAGGACAGAAGGAGAGTGGATGTTTTTGAGCTATGGTGCTGGAGAAGGGTACTGAATGTACCATGGACTGCCAGGAAAACAAACAGATTCATCTTGGAGAGGATTAAACCAAGCTACTCCTTGGAGGCAAGGATTCTGGGGCTTCGTCTGACATACTTTGGGCAGGGACGGGTCCTTGGAGAGGGACATCATGCTTGGGAGGGTGGAGGGACAGCGCAGGAGGGGAAGACCCTCTATGAGATGGATTGATTCGGTGACTGGGGTAATTGGGATGGGTGTGTCAGAGGCAGTGCGGTTGGCGCAGGATAGAGCAGGGTTTAGAGCTGTTGTGCATAGGGTCGCTATGAGTCGCAAACGACTCGATGGCACATAACAACAACAACAACAATGAGGAAATATACAACCAAGTTTACAGAACTCAGAAAAAAAGGAGCAAATAAAAATTTGGTGCAAGAAAATGATTATAATAAAAGAACACATTCTGAATGTGCAAGTATCTTGAAAGTCATCCTCAAGTTTAAAGGAAAAATGTTCTTTTAGAGGAATGAAAGCAATATATAGAAATAGATAAATGGGATGAGAATTGTGGAAGAGAATGACTCTTCTTTTAATGTATACATCGTCATAGAAAAGACTGCAGTATAAAAATTCTTTGAGAAGAAAACAGACATACAAAATATGGCATAGAAGAAACTTTAATAATTAAGGTGTTTATACTCTCTGAGGAGATAAGATTTAGATAAGGATGTTAATAATCAGCTCTCATGGCACAATTGGCTAGTAAACAAAAGTTTGGCAGTGTGAAGCCATATGGGGGATCCAAGGGAAAAATATTTTGTAATAGTCTGCTTCTGTGAAGATCACGTACAATTTGACTCTTGCCTCCTGTAAATGCTGCAGCCTAGAAATCTTTATGGAGCAAGTCTCCTCAGTCACATAGGGTCACTTCTGCTCAGTCACACAGGGTCACAAGAGTTGAAATTGACTCGATGGATCACAACCACAACAATCTAGGATAACTTCAACACACATGAAATCAGATAGTGTGATTATTCATTAATACATGGGAAAGTAAAGATTATGCCATGCAGAGAAAGGGAAGCTACTTAACATGCAGTGAAAAGAAATGCAAACCATAAAAGCAGACAAATGGCCAACAATAGGTAGTCTTCTAAGATTATGTATTTAGAATGGAATAAAAGTGTTCTAGAAACTGGGGGGGGGGAGGGGTTTGTGTGGGGAGAAGGGTGTAACAATGAATGAATGGAATTCCAAAATCTCTGTAGATGTTCAGTGAAATGAAAAATAAACAAACTAAATTAAAATAAAAAAAATTAAAAGAAATATTTTACTTCTAAAAAAAAAAGTGGTCTAGAAGTCTCAGCTTCCTTCCTTTCAGAATGCCAGATTATATTGAGAAAGGTTATATAATTTTTTTTCTGGTTATTAGGAAGTAAAACAATGATGAAATTTGTGAAGAGGCTAAAGGTCTCTAGGTCTTTATTTTTGCTCTCTATATTTTGAAGAGACATACCCCAACAATCACTTTTAATGGACTGTGGACCAAATGAAAATTGGCACAGATGATGAAACTCAAAGCATTAGCCATCACATCCTTCAATTCCAAGCAAATTTATAAGAATGTTTTAAGGTTGAGGTGCTAGCAAATGAGCCAAGAAGTTATTTTATGTTTGTGTTTTGTTTTGGTTTTGTTTTCAGAGAAAGAAAATAACTGATTGGATACAATCATTGCTTTTGAACCAATAAGCTGTGATTGCTATTCAAAGACAGTATCTTCATATGCTTTAGAGAAGATGCAGAAATTATTTGATGAGTACATATGGAATAAAGAGCCATATAATTCTCAGTCACATCTCATTGATATCTAGACATCTCTGATTCTTGCCAACTGTCGAACATTGACATTTCCCCTCAAGGAAAAATACAAATTTGTTCTGTTGCCAGAAACTACCAAAACTTTATAAGCCATTTTCTTGAAATCCACAGTTCTATTTTTAGAATATCTTCCACAGATACACTTAAACAAGTCAATGTATATATAAACAGTTCATGAAACCTGTAACTATGACAATCAAGAAGCAACCTAAGTGCTCAACCAGAGGTGAATAAACTGAATAGTTTATGTGTGACCAACCAATGGAACCCTAGAAAAACTAAGAAAAAATGAAATGTACTGTGTACACAGAGATTGGAATGCTGCCCACATTACATGTTGTTGTTGTTAAGTACAGTCAAGTTGCAGGTGACTCCTAGTGACCCTATGAAGGAGAGTCCTCGACACTTGGGTGTCTCTCATCCTCTCTCCAGGTTCATAGGGTTTCTGGAGGCAAGCTATTACGGAAGTGGATGCTGCTCCTGCTTCCAACCTACATTATATAAGCAAGTGAATTTTTACACTGCAAAGTAGTATATATTGTATGCCTTTAAAAAAAATCCTATATAATGTATAAGGAGATCTATGATGACCTACTCTAGGTAAAGAGTTGTGTTGTCAACCCAAAGGTAGGCAGTTTGAATCCACCAGCTGCTCCACAGGAGAAAGATAGGCAATCTCATCCTGTGAGATTTACAACCTGTGAAAACCCACTAAAGGGTCAGCTGTGAGTCGATTCAGAGTGCTCTCTTGTTCTCTCCCCTCCCTTCCTCTCCTCTCCCCTCCCCTCCCCTCCCTAGAACAGTCTAGTTGGGAGAAAAGAACTTCTATTATTTTGCAGTTAATGAAGATGTTCACTTTCATTCATATGTGTGTGTATGTGTGTGTGTGATGTCTTGATGTAAGGAAATAATTATTAAAATATTTTAATATTTTATGGAAAGGAACTTGAGGCAGTCTAACATATTAATTTTGCAGATAAGAAAATGTAAATGGACTATGGTAAAATTATTTCCCTAAATAAAATAAAACTGCATGGTTGCATAAATAAGTGAATAACATGTTCCTTATTTTTTTCCTTAATCTGAAGAATTAGCCTTAATTTTCTGTTTTTCCTCCATTTAAGTAAAACAAACATTGTCACATATCTAGGAAATTGCTCTGGTTTTTTTCTCCTGAGTAAGATATGGGGCATTGTGTTCTAAATATCTTGCTACCAGAGTAATATGTAAACCAAATTTCAACACACAGAAATGTGTATACACCTTTTCCTGGAACTAGTGGCTTACTTCAGGTTCTTGTTTTAGGGATTTGACCAGCTTCGACTTGAAGGATTGCTTTGTGATGTGACCTTGATGCCAGGTGATACGGATGATGCTTTCCCTGTACACAGAGTCATGATGGCATCTGCTAGTGATTACTTCAAGGCCATGTTCACAGGTAATTTGCCTTATTAAACCCTATCTGCACATTAAAACTGTGTGAAAAATCAGTGTTTAGTCTTTTGCATTCTAAAATGAAATTCAATTCAGTTAGCTAGCTTGGCTCCTTATAAGAGGAAATCATTTCAAATGATTATACATTAGTAGTTATGACTGTGGTTGGCACTTTTTAAACTTCTGAAATGTGTGTATTGTACATCTATATCTCACAGCTTTTCTTGTCCAGACACAGATCTGAATTGACCAGATGAGATTCTGGTACTAGTAATGCAATATTTATTCATCAAAAGATAAGAGATTCTGGTACCAGCAATACAATCTTTACCTATCAAACTTGTGTTTGTCATCCATATTCATATCATCCATATGTGTAAATGTATATATGAATATTCTTATAGTCGGAGAGCTTTGTTTTGGAATACAGACCTTTATCAGGACCTCAGCAATTTTGTTTTCTCCTAAAGTAAAACCACTACTTGTTCAGATGGCAAGTGAGAGCTTAAAATAATTTAAAAAATTGATACAATCCAAGTGGTGAGAAAGGAACATGAATAGAGGGCCATTTCTTTTGTATACTGCATTGAAACAGATGAGGGAGAGAACAATTTAAAAGCAATATATTATAGGGTATTATGATTATCATTAGGGTCTGGAATGAAGGTTGCAGAATGGAGTATACTTCGGGTGGGGTGAGGGGATTATATACCAATGAAGGAATTTTTCTTTTACTTTTCAAAGATAAGAGGAACTGGGGGGCGGGGTGGACGGGGAGAAAAGTCCAACAATGAATGAATGGAAAGCCAACATCTCTGTAAATGTTCATTGAAATTAAAAAAAGAGAGAGAAAAGAAAACAGTGAGAGGAGAACATTTTGGAAGCACTTGCATCATATACAGCTTCCACTAGTATATAGAGACATTCCTTGTCAAGCACTTTCTTTTAACTGAAAAATATGCAGAAGCCTGACTCTGTCAGGAGTACTTGTACAGAATAAGCCTTTTCCTTGATTTTTATTGCTTCTAATTAGCAGCAGAAGTGAGTTTGACCTTAATTAAATTACTACCTTCCTTTAATTGAATGTCTTTTTATTTAAGGTGGAATGAAAGAACAAGATTTAATGTGCATTAAGCTTCATGGCGTGAGCAAAATTGGTCTAAAGAAAATTATTGATTTCATTTACACTGCAAAGCTCTCTCTTAATATGGACAACCTTCAAGACACACTGGAAGCTGCCAGCTTCCTACAGATTCTGCCAGTTTTGGACTTCTGCAAAGTATTTCTCATATCTGGGGTAAGGCCTTTTCAGTTTTTTGTTTTCTCATGATGTTGCCTAGTCAGAGTAGGAGTCATGAACCTGTTGTGAAGATATATAAAACTTTTGCTATCAGGGAGATTTGACAAGTAGTTTGTGATCTGGAAATAAATTGAGAGAGAAAAAAGTATAGTTGCAATATAAAGTGGGATCATTTCACAAAAAAAACCTTGTGTGATCAAATGGTATCAGATACTTATATTACTTGATAATTATATATCCTTTAAAATGTTTGATACTCTTGTGTACCATAATATACCATAATACCATCATTTTAAGTATATTTTATGCAAGCAGCTTCTTTAAATGAAATTCTATGGAAACTAATTTGAGCTTCAATGAGTTGAGAGAGTAGCCTTAAGATGGACTCAATACTTTTTTTTTTCTTTTTATCATGGTCTTAAGAACTAACACTTGTAAACTAGAGAGAATATAAATCTTGATGCCATAGAGATTGTAGCTCTCTCTCCTTTTTTTTTTTTTTTGTAAAGAGGGACCAATCAACTAGCTATGTATGTATCAGTGAATCACTCAGTAGTCACCCAGTTGTTGAAGAACAGTATCTTATTTTAGTTGAGACACTTGGATGAGTTTGTGGAAAAATATGTGCCTGTGGGAGCTCTGGTGGCATAATGAGTAAGGAGCTGTGCTGCCAACCCAAAGGCAAGTGATTCGAATCGACCAGCTGTTCCAGTGGAAAAAGATAAGCATTTTCTTCTCATGCTATTTATAGCCTCTGAAAATTCACTAGAGAGTCAGTTATGAGTCAGTACCAATTTGATGGCACACAGCAACAATAAGTGCCTATGTGGTAGAAAAATATTGCCAAGATTTCTGGAGTTTATAGTGTTTATTTATTTTAATAAAAATTTTGGTAGTAGTTCATTTTTACATATTATATTTTTCTAAGTTATTATGTTGATGGATGATGTTTTCCTATAACCTCTTTTAATTCTTATCAATTATGATATTGGTAGATAATTGCTGCTATTCTTTAAAAATAAGTGTTGAGGCCTTCTTTCAAACATAAAGGACCAAGAAAATTTGCCCTTAATTAGTTTACTAATAAGCTACACCCTATCTTTCTAAAGTCAGCTAACAGCTAATTTAATTGCACTTTTGAAAGTGTTTTTGGTTTGTTTCCATTTTTTAAATATGGGAAGTATTCACAGCTACTTGTAAACTTTTAAACTAACCGCTCTTTTTATGGGCTTTAGGGCAGAATGGTTTTATGTTGTTAATTTAGCTATTCCTTAAGAGGTTATCTCTACTGCACAAATAGCCAAAGCAGAGTTTTAAATTTCCCATGATAGCGCTTGTTGCCATTATTGGATTTGGGTGCCAAACTTCATTTTAATTTAATCATACTCAGCCTTTCCCCTCAGGGTCTGTAAGCATCTTCCTTCCAATTTTATGCCACTGATAACATGTCACAGCTTAATTTAAAGGGAAAATGAATTGTGTCCAGTATAATTTTTTAAATGTTTCAAGCCCAATGATTAAGTTACCAGTAATAGTTAATGCTGATATTTGGCTATTTTAATATTAATTTATGTTGATCTTAGCTTTAGAGAGTGTCCTGAGCCAAACTAGGAACAGTGCTTTGGCAGAAATCATTAACTAGATGTATTGTCGACCTATTTCCTAATGTAGAGGTTGAATCCTTACAATTTCAGATGTCCATGGTGACCTGATCCTTTATCTGTATTAGAGAAAGCAATCTGGCAAAGCATAATTTAGAAAAAGTGATGGTTAAGCATAATTATTAAAATAAAAGGATTAAAACAATAAATTTTGTTCTACTTAACTAGTTAAAGCCATGGTTTAAGGACAATATCACAGTAATTTTTTCAATAGTCACAAATTTTCTGTACTTAAACTGTTAGTTCCTTAATGTGTTTACAGCATTTGTTATAAATGTATGGTTTAAACATTTGGAAAGTTCTTTTTTGTTTTAAAATAACACTTTAATGTTGTCTTAAAGGTTATGTTCTTCATTCTTATGTCCTCTGCAGACATTCTAAAGCCCATTTGTAATGAAGAAGAGGCTTCTCCCTGACAAAGTTTACTTGTGGTATAGTTTATTTGACCTCTCTCAGCTAGTACAACTCTACTTGTTTTCTATTTCATTCTCTTTACCTAGCAAAGATACCTCGACATGATTTTATAGTAGAATTCTTCCTTCTCTAAAGCCGTGCTTTTCTACTCAGGAGACCTGAAAGTTTCAAGATATTCTGAATATTTTTTGGAAGATTCCCCCACATGCTAAATTATTGTAGAGAACAACTTAATATAATGATGTCATGCTTTCGAGAGTATGCTGCAACCAAATGTTTCAGAGCAAATAGGCTTTCTGTTTTTAATGATATGACAAGGCTAGCTCATGGAACCAAAATACTGCGTAGGTGTGAATTTTTAGGAAGAAATCTCTACTTCTAATAAGTTCTGTTCCATCCCATTCTGTCATCATTTTCTGTGGATGAGGAGGAGCACTGGTACATATAATTTGAAACAGCAAATAAAGCATGAAGTCTTTATATACCAAATTTGAATGGGGATGTTAAATACAGTGTTACCACCACACTTACTCATTTGGTGAGATAGAGACATTTCCTATGACAGCATCAAGATCAAGAGAATGTGAACCACTTCCTCCTAACTTTGCCCACCTTTGCATTAATAGGTTTCTGTTAGGTTTGTAATTATTATTATTGCTAAAAGGATACAACATTGATGTTTGTGTTATGCTAGATTTTTGTAGTTGTGAAAAAGAGGAATATAACATGAATACAAAAAGAACAACAGTGACAGATATAAATCAGAGTAGTTACAAAGGTCAATACAACTAAAACCCCTCCCTTCATGTACCATGGAGATAATGGAAAATTGCCTTTGCTTACTTCATAGTACCTGTTAAATTCACATCCAATTTTGCTAGTATAACATTGCATAAATAATGCATGCTAAATGCATGTCCAATTTCCCTGATTTATAAACAAGTTGCATTTCAAATTTTTGTTTATTATTTATGTGCAATTTGGAATTTGTAACTTCTAGCATTTTTTGAAGAATTAGTTACAGGCCAACCTACAAAGCTCGATTTAATTCAATATTGCCAAAATTCGGTATTTATAAATGAACTGGAAATATTATAATTTGAATTTTAAACAAACAAAGCAGAATAAAAGTGAGGAAGAGTAACATCTTTATTTTTATATAAAGGTGAATATAATCAGAAATGCAAACTGTGATGCTTGAAGGTATTCTTTTATATTTCATTGTTTTCAAATGACAGTTCATTTATTTTTCTTGGTATAGGTACATCATTTGTTGTATGTACATATTTAGTATCAGTGTTAGGACCGAGGGATTCACAGTGAGATGGACAGAAATGTTTATTGAAATGTCTGGCTGTGTAGAAGCACTGAAGACAGTAAAGTAGGTGAAGCAATATTATTGTACATAGGAGAGAAGCAAAAGACTGAAAAACAGGGAGAACTTAGTTTTCTCAAGGGGAAAAATGAAGGGAATCCGAAATCATTGGAAAAGTCAGTTTCTTTTGCTAATTGATGTGATCAGTAGCAAGCCTATGGAGTTATCTAGGGTCATTTTAATAACAGGTCTGGAGAGATTGTCTAGTTCAGTGTGCGGTACATGGAGTGCTTATATAGTAAACCTACTTCACAATTCTAAACGCTGCTCTATACTGGATTTAGTAAAAATTAATAGACATGCCTTTTTGAATGTATGTGCGTATATGTGTTTGCCCTTGTGATACTATATGAGGTAGAGAAATAGTTTCATGGATAAAAATGATTTTTTAAATAATTTTAATGAACATTTACAGAGAATTTGGATTTCCATTCATTCATTGCTGCACTTCTCTACCCACCCAGCCCTCTCCCCCCGCCCCCCAGTTCGCTCCTCTCTTTCAAAAGTAAAAGAAAGACTCCCTCCCTGGTACACAATCCCCCCGCACCCCTCCCACCACCCCAAGTACATTCCACTATGCAACCTTAATTGTGGAAGATCAAAATGATTTTTAAACAATTCTTTCTTCCTCATAAAAAAAAAATCTTACCTTCCTTAAGACCAGGGCTGAGAGCTATTCTGTGAGTATCCTGATAGCCAAACTGACTGTTTATGGATGGATTTGTTGGTACCCAGGGTATGGTAGTTGTTTAATATTCTAAATATCATCTCTGCTTAAAGTGGCCTAGTAGTAATTATTTGAGTCCACCAGCTGCTCCACAGGAGAAACATGGACAGTTTCCTGTCATATCATTTATATCTTCTGAAAACCCACTGGAGAGTCACTATGACTCAGTTCTGACTCGGTGACACATAACAGCATCCTATTTTTGTCCACCTAGCATATAAATATCTGCAAGAGAAAGAGAAAAGGTCTAATCTGAGTACAAACCACTTCAACTCCCCAGCATGGTTTTAGTGAATCATTCATTGCTGTTGGCCATTTAACACCATGAGTTGCTGCGAAATATAGTAAGTGTGTAGCCAAGGACCATTGCAACAACTAATACTGTATCCAGTAAGAGAAAGACATTCAACATACATAGAAATAAAAGAATTACATTTTTTAATCTGGAGATCCCATCAGACTCAATATATAGTTTTTTTGGGTTACCTCAAATAGCATTTAGAAATGATTGTTAAGTGCCACTGAATCGGCTATGGCTCATAGCAACCCTTTAAACAGCACATCTGAATTTTGCCGTATCCTGCCGCATCATCATAAGACAGAGCAAGGTGTTTTATCTGTTTGTAAACGATCCCTTTGTTATCACCAAAAGGTCCCTTTCCCAAGCCCTGCAATATTGTCATCAGTGGAATAGAAGATGCCTGCTTTTACTGACTTTACTTGACTTCCCAAAGGGGCTGTTTTAATTTCTTCGCAGTTTGCCCTTTCTGCACTGGTTGTACCTGATAACAGACTCTCATTCTAACAAAGTAGATCGCACCAAGGAGAATTTAGTACATTGAGTGAGGTGTCCCCAAAATTTTACTGGATTTCGTAACTTTGCATTTCTCTTGAGTGTAAAAGGAGCTCTGGCGACATACAGGGTAAGGAGTTGAGCTGCCAACCCGAAGACACGTGGTTTGAATCCACTAGCTTCTTCACAGGACAAAGATGGACAATTTCCTCCCATGCAGTTTACAGCCTCTGAAAACCCACTGGAGGGTTAGCTCCAATTCAATGGCAATGAAAGGGTTATTTTTTTTTTTTAGTGTAAAAAAAAAAAAGCAGATATTTCTTTTGCATGGAAATGTCCTTGTATAAAATTCTTGATCATCAACAGAATAACATCACAGATATATGATGAAACATACAATTCATATGACAAATTATGTTAATAACAATGTTTGAGTATCTCAAGTATAATTTGAACAATTTTGTACAGCAACACTAAGTACAGGTACGTTAATGAGAAAACCACATTCAGAATTATGATGCTTGGAATTGCCTTGATGATAACTGGTTTTTGGTTATAATTGAGCAATTTATATAATTCTATCGAAAACTTAACTGTGAAATTGGTTATTTTTACAGCAACTTAATCAGTTCCTTAAGCAGGTCAAGAAATGTCCTTTGAGACAGAGCTCTGGTGGCCTAGTAGGTAAGGAATTGTGCTGCCAACTCAAACTCAGGCAGTTCAGATCCACTAACTGCTCTGAGAGAAAAATATGAGCAATCTCTTCCGTATTAACAGCTTCTGAAAAGCCACTGGAGGATCAGCTATTAGTTGGCTCTGATTCAACAGCAAAGGGAGGAGGCTGTTTTCCTTTCTTTTTTATCCTTTAAAAAACAGATATTTATTATCTGTACAGACTAGTGTTTGTAATGACTGAGTTTTAAACAATCTTTATTAGTTTGCATACAATAATTTGTTTATATTGTTTTTCATTCACTTTGCAACGACTGTTTTTGACCAGCTAAAGATTAAATTGGAAAGGTTTCCCCCTAATTTTGAGGTGTAGGTGTTTTCTTTTTGAAGTAAATTTTATACTTTCCATTTTCAAAATGCATTCTATTATACATGGACTGCAACATATGCTAGGCTAAAGAAATGATTGTGGCTTTACTTTTTCCCCTTATTACTTTCTTTTTAAAAAATGAATTTTAATGAAAATTTACAGAGATTTTGGATTTCCATTCGTTATTGAACTTTTGTCCCTGCCCACCACCCCCAGTTTTCTCTTTGAAATGTAAAAATTCTTTCATTGTTATACAATCCCTGTTCCCAAGTCTACTCCACTATGCAGCCTTCATTCTAGTCTCCTGTCATGACAATAATACCTAATCACATATCTCTTTTAAACAGTGGCATTATGCAATATTTGTCTTTTTGTGACTGAAATATTTCACTCAGCATAATGTCCTCCAGGGTCACCCATTTTGTATAATATTTCCATGAGTTCCTATAGTATTTCATTGTTTGAATATACCACAGCTTCTCTATCCATTCATTTGTTGATAGCCACTAGGGTTGTTTCCAATGCTTTACTATTGGACAAAGCTGCTTGGGTGGTGGTGATGGTTTCTTTAATTTATATTCCCAGTAGTAGAATTGCTGGATCTAATGGTATTTCTATTTGCAACTTTTTGAAACAGCAACATACAGCTTTCCATAGTGGTTGTACCATTTTACATTCCCACCAGCAGTGAATAAATGTTCCAGTTTCTCTGCAACCTTGCCAGCATTTATTGTTTGCTGCTCTTTTGAATCTTGCTATCCTTACTGGGGTGAGATGATATCTCATAGTCGTTTTGATTTGCAGCTCTCTTAGAGTTAGGGATTTTGAACATTTGTTCATGTGTTTGTTGGCCATCTGAATGTCTCCTTTGGTGAAGTGTCTGTTCATATCCTGTGCCCATTTTTCAAATGGGAATTTTTAATCTGAGACATTTTTAAAAATCATGACTAAGAATTGGATTGAAATGAACCATAATCAATCCATCCTTATTCCCCCAAAGAGCATGTCATGATTCCATCATTATTGATCTGCTTATATTGTCAACTGTCATTCTAGGCTTTCAATCTTTATATTCTGTGATTAATTTATGTGGGTTTGATTACATGTACTTGATAAAAATTAATTTCCTGTTACCTATTTTTCTTATCCGAGTTGTGTTTTAAAATTAATAAGCTTTGAGTAATTAGCTGTATTAGTTTGACAGGTATTCTATTTTTAGTTGCATTTATCATTGCAACTTTGATTTTTTCTTTGCTATTAGTCATAGTATTTATCCTCTGTGGTAGCTGTTGGAGGTGAGCTATAGAATATACCTTTCATCTTTCAATAAAATGACAATTCAGGCTGTTATGAACTACCAATCTCTGGCAATTTTTAAGATAGGAGTTTTATAATATTGACAAGGTGATGTGTCAGGGTCTTCTCCAGACCTGTGACTGTGTATATGAGCATATGGCTTTGTAAAATGTCTTTCAGGTATTCTGGGTGCCTTTTAGTGGTAAGAAGCTTTTAGTGAAAAAACAGCTTTAACACTTCTTTTAGTGGTAAGAAGCTGTGAAAAAAGCAAGGGTTTTTTTTTAGTGAAATGAAGTTTTACCACTTCTTTTTTAGAGGTAAGAAGCTATGCTGCAATCTCTAAGGCACTCAAATCAAATTCACCAATGTGCAATCTCCTCCCGTGCAATTTACTACCTCAGAAAACCTGCTAGAGGGTCAGCTGTGGGTCTGTACTATCTCAACTCGATGGCACACAATAGCAATAGTACGTGCCTTTTAACAAAAGATGGAGCTGTGGTGGTGAAAACCATAGGGAGTTGTGTTGCTAGCACAAAGGTAGGACCTCTCTGGCAGTTTGAAACTACCACCTGCTCTGCAGGAGAAAGATGGGCAGCCTCCTCCCCTGGAATTTACAGCCTTGGAAAGCCCTCTAGAGGGTCAGCTGCAAGTCAGTTCTGACTCAACAGCTATAAGTAAGTGAATTTAACTAAAGATAGGCTTTAGTCTCTTGCTATTTTAGTAATTATTTTTCCTGTTGGGTTAATTTGAAGAGGGGAAAGAGGAAGGAATGAAATGCCTTGATCTGTAATCTTGGTTTTACTGCCTTGGAAAACCTGCTGGAGGGTGAGCTATGGTTTGGTTCTGACTTGATGGTAAACACCAACAACCAACAATCTTCCTTTAGTTCATCTGCATTAAATTTAGATTGAAATTTGAAGATTAACACCTGATTATGATTTTTTTTTTTAAAAAATCGTTTGGCCCACGTGAAGCAATTTTTCTATGGTTTTTGTTGTTGCTGTCATTAATAATAATATTGGTAATGATGAAAATCTAATTATATATTTGTGTTGTCATCAACCTTTGCTTGTCCTTACTGGTAGCTGAATCCACTACCATCAATTCGGTTCCGACATGGCAACCTTCTTTTGGGTTACTAAGGAGAAGATTTTACAATGGGAGAAGCTGCCCATCTTTCTCCTATGGCACATCTGGTGGATTTGACGTGCATACCTCTCAATTAGCATCCCAGCAAATTGTAAACTCTATCACTAGGGCCCTTTATCATATCAATAAATGTGTTCAAAGGTGCAATTACCCTTTCTCTGGGGAAGTGCTCTGTCATACTTGCATTGGAAAGTGGATCCATTTCTTTCAAACAGGAAACCTTCACACTCGTATTCTAGACAATTAAGCCCTAACTGCACTCTATTTACTCAGCTTAACATTTTTATGAACTGCTGCCCTTGCCATGCCTAAATGTGGTTTAAAATGTACTTTTTGTTATCCACGTTAGAAATCTAAAGTTTTTGTGGTTTTTTAAAAAAATTCTTTTATTTTGTACTGGTTTACATACAAAGTTCGTATACATTGTTTTTCACACCAGGTCTTTACCCTTTCCTTTACACACACTTTCCTCTACCTATCAAAATTGTGCAACACTATGATTAAGCCCCCTTTTGATCCCCCATCCTCACCTCTCTGCTCCCCCTTCCCTCCTTGTATCCTCATACTCATTCTACAATAATGAACTTAGACAATATTTGTCTTTATGAGAGTTAGTTAGCTCAATTAGAAATCTAAAGTTTTGATCTATCTAAAATTAACCTTAGAGATCCTATCTAGGCTGATAGCATCCTATTTTACACAGTGGAGTAATGCTTTTGGTCTCATTTCCATTTTTAAGTGGAAGGATTAATGCATTTTCTTTCAGTCATCTGCCCATCTGTTAGTAATAGAGTTGCATTGATGGAAGTTTGTGAGACATACATTTGAGTCCTTTGCCTATAACCTCTGTGTCTCTGTCTCTCTTATGTGTACCCAACTCACCACATCCAGAGACATTTATATGGTAGGTTTGCTTTTGTGATTTATTCCTTGTGTTAACACTTACTGGTATTAAATTCTCATATTATCTGTTGAGCGGTGTACTGATATTTCAATACTAAAGTATTGAAAAGTAAAGTGTTGTAAGGTAAAGGTCTTGTTGAAGACTACCTAAACTTATTGCCACTGAGTTGATTTTGACTCACAGTGACCCTGTGGATCAGAGTAGAAATGACCCATAAGCTTTCCTAGAGTGTAAATCTTTATGGAAGTTGACTGCCCCATCTTTCTCCCACAGAGTAGCTGATGTATTTAAACCACCAATCTCTCTCATAGCATCTAAGAGTTTAACCAGTGCACCACCAGGACTGCTAGTATAATTGAATAATCCTCTGTTTTTCAAAAACTTCCATCTGACCAGACTATCATGAAAGTATGGTTTTCTAAAACTTTCTTTTTATTGACTTAATAGGTCACTTTAGACAATTGTGTTGAAGTGGGGCGGATTGCCAACACCTACAATCTGACAGAAGTGGACAAATACGTTAATAGTTTCGTCCTCAAGAATTTTCCTGCATTGCTGAGCACTGGGGAGTTCTTGAAACTCCCTTTCGAGCGTCTTGCCTTTGTGCTTTCCAGTAATAGCCTTAAACACTGCACCGAACTTGAGCTCTTCAAGGCGACCTGTCGCTGGCTGCGCCTGGAAGAGCCTCGGATGGACTTTGCTGCAAAATTAATGAAGAACATACGATTTCCACTGATGACACCACAGGAACTCATCAATTATGTGCAAACTGTGGACTTCATGAGGACTGACAATACCTGTGTGAACCTGCTTTTGGAAGCCAGCAATTACCAAATGATGCCATACATGCAGCCCGTGATGCAGTCAGACAGGACTGCCATTCGGTCTGACACCACTCATTTGGTCACACTTGGAGGAGTGCTGAGGCAGCAGCTGGTTGTCAGCAAAGAATTGCGCATGTATGATGAAAAGGCCCATGAGTGGAAGTCACTAGCCCCCATGGATGCCCCGAGATACCAGCACGGCATTGCCGTCATTGGCAATTTTCTCTATGTCGTTGGCGGACAGAGCAATTATGACACAAAAGGCAAAACAGCAGTTGATACAGTCTTCAGATTTGATCCTCGATACAACAAATGGATGCAGGTTGCATCTTTAAATGAAAAGCGCACCTTCTTCCACCTAAGTGCCCTCAAAGGATATCTGTATGCAGTCGGTGGGCGAAATGCGGCGGGTGAACTGCGTAAGTGTGTGCATATATTTTATTCATGTGTGTGTGTGTGTGTGAATAGTTTTTCTAGGATCCACACAGCTATATAACAGTCACCAGAGTCCATCTTAGGGCATTTCTAAAATTTCACTAAAAGAAACATCATGCCCACTACTTATTCTTCATTTTTTTCTTCATCCTCGCCAAGTTCTTCTTCATCCTTCCCAAATCTAGGCAACCAGTATTCTCCTTTCTGGCTTCTAGATTTAGTGATTCTGGCTATTTCATATACATGTTGTTACCCAGGAGTTGGTTCCAGCTCGTGGTGACAACAGAGTGAGGCACTGCCTGGTACTGTGCCAACCTCATAATTGTTGTGGTGTTTGAACCCATTATTGCAGCTGCTGTGTCAATCCCATTTTCTCAAGGATCTTCATCTTTCCCCCTGAATCTCTTCTTTACCAAGCAAAATCTATCAGAGCCATTATTTTTGCATGCTTCCCTTTTTGGCTCTCTTTTGAAGACATGAGATTATCAATAGGATCAGTAGTTAACCAGTATTCTAGGGTCCATAATGCTGCTGCTGCTGTCATGTCCAAGTGGGAGAAAAATTTAAAAGTAAACTGCTCCATTGGGCAAGTGGCCCATGCACAGTCTTTCTTGCTCACAACCTTCAGAAATCAATCCCTTTGTTTCATCTCTTATTTAGACAGATCCTGTGGTCTAGTGATAAGGAACTATACCGCCAACTCAGAGGCGCATGGTCAGTGTGGGGCAGGGGCGAGGTGGAGAATTTCTGCCTGTGCCATTTACAGCCTCTGAAAACCCATTAGAGGGTCAGCTATGAATTGGTTCTGACTTGATGGCACATACCAACACCGACAACATCTCTTATTCAAAACAATCTCTGGTGTTTTACCTTCAAAGTGAAAAGATACAAGAGAATCAGGCTTTAGAGAGCTACTCCTAAATTCATATTGTCATTCGAATATATTTAGGTTCTTAAATATATAATCTTCCAGAGCTTAACTGAAAGATAATGATTTTAATGTATTATCCTTCCACATGACAAATATAGATGTGTTCTGTGTTAATCAATAAATTGCATTTTCCAAAAATTCATGCATGATTATGCTATAGACCAAAATACTCCCTACCAAGAAACAGCTCTTAATTCCATTGAAATGCCAAATGTTTGATAGTTTTCTTTTAAACTATTACCGCTAAGTCTGTAAGTAACTATGCTCTTATAGGATATGATTGCCTGCAGTCTATGATTATATGCCTTATATGATTACATAGATACATAGAATATGATTGCCAGCACACCCAGCATTTCTTTACTGATTATTTTAAGTCCAAATACAGTTGGAGCCTTAAAAATTAATGATGTCACTGATTTCTTAAGTATTCTCTAGGGCCAAAAGGAGTCACAGCATAAAAGCAAAAGGCTTCACTTTTCTGACCCCTCCCAGTCCTTTTGTGCTATGCTCAAATGGGAGCAAGAGAATGACCACCCTATTTTGCCACATTCTTTTATCAACTATTGTTAATGCACAGAACATAAAAATGGCTGTTTGCCAGATCTACCGCACCAAAGAACAGCATCAATGAGCTCTTTGGAATTGTATCCATTTATAACATTTCTTTTCATATAAATAAGAAAAGTATTTGTATCAGTTGCCCTGGCCAATTTTCTTGGTTCCACTCTTTTTATAAAATATCAGATCCTGCTTCTACAGAAATTATTTCTTTTCATTCAGAATGTTCTGGACACAGGCTGAATTTTTTAACTCTTCTCCTGTTCTACAAACATCCCATTGTTTCTGTGTGTGGCCTTTTTGGGGTAGCTTCCTTTCGTTCTGATACTAACATCTGTTGTAATAAATTAACATTTCTATCCTGATTGCGTGAACGTATTCATATGCCTGTATAAATAGAAAAAGGGTAGTGATGGGTGACAGGAAAAGAGGATTTGTGGGCGAGTCATTTAACAAGGTTACTACTATTTGCACATCGTCTTGCTTTATACACATAGTAACTTGACAGCATCTGACAATAACATCTATAATTATAAAAAGAAAACAGTGACAGCACTTGTGCGCCATATTGATGTATTTGGCCTTTAAAAATCCTCTAATGGAGTATACAGATCTAAGTAAAAATTAAGTCCATAGTATATTAAAAAGAGATGTGTGTACATGGGTATGTATGCTGCATGCACCTAGCTTTTTGCTAAAGGTATGATTCCTTGGAAATACCACTTTCTCTTGACACGTGTTACAGTAAGTAACTAGGAAACATTAGAGTAGTGGTCACTAAAGTAAAAAAGGAGTCAATTATTTCTGGTAGCTTTCAAAATTTTGTCATATAAGGCATTGATCTCCCCTTGAGGTATTGAAGAGGAATATGACAGTTCAGATCTTTCACTTCAGTGAATAAGTCAAGCTTTTAAATAATGAAGAAAAAAATATAAAATGTGTTGGATTTTTTTTTCAAATAAATATACAGTTAAAATTACTTAAAAAATAGTTAAATTCTTCAGATTTGAGTATTCTTGATTAAAGAGTTCATCATCGTTAATTGGCACTCCAGGATCCCAGAGTCCATCCTCCCTCTATAATAAACATCATTGTTCCAGTCTTGCCTAGACTTTTCCCTAGTTTCAAAGGCCAAAAAAGCATGAATGAAACATGCTGTAAACAAATTACTGTATGTAAAGCTATTTTTTTTAAAAGGAGTGAAAAAATCAACCAAGGAAGCTCCACATTGTCCTTTGGAGATGATTCTGAACTCAGATTAGGATCGCCTGAGAAGATAAGAACTTCTGGTCACATATATAAAATATCCAATGTGAATTGAATGTAACTCTTAAACCAGAGATCTTCTCGGTTTTAAACACCAAGACTCCAGATAATTGAAATTCATTTTCTTGATTAGGTATTGATGAACTTTTCCTGTAAAGGGCCAGGAAGTACACATTTTCTTTCAGCTTTATTATGTACAACATGATCTTGGTCACAACTACTTGAATCTGCCACTGCAGTGCAGACATAGCCATAAGCAATTAACAAGCAGATGGGTATGGTTTTTATTGCAGTAAAGCTTAGTGAAATTTGAATTCCATATAATATTCATGTCACAAAGTACTATATTTTCTTTTGTTTCTTTGTCCTTTAAAATATGTGAAAACCTGCTACTATTTTTTAGCTTGTAGGCATTGAGCTGATGCTGGCCCATGAACTGCAGTTTCCTGACCCTCATCATAGTTTGCTAATCATCTCTCATTTCCACATTTCATAGACTATAATGGAGACACTGCTTTGTGACTCTAACTCCTTGCTTTGTTTTCAAACTTGCTCTCCCCCTACCCCAGAAGTTGTTACTTCATACCTGTATTTGATTGTCTTAAAAAATAGAAATAAGAGCTTGCATATGTATTTTTAAATTCAATAACTCCATTTGAAAACTAAATGCTATTGGTTTTACTAACAACAACAGAGATTCAACATAGAGAAAGTCTAAAGATTGAAAAAGATTAAGGGATTGGAAAACTAAGCTTGGTTGGAAGAAGGAAAGTTTAGAGACAACTAACTATTATTGTTAGTTGGGACTGTTAGAGAGCTCTGTTGGCTTAGTGGTAAGGAGTTATGCTGCCAACCCAAAGGCATGTGGTTCAGAGCCACCAGCTTGAAGATGGACAATGCCCCCCCCCCTGTGTGATTTACTGCTTCTGAAAACCCACTGGAGGGTCAACTAAGAATTGATTGTGACTTGATGGTACAGTTGTTCTGGTTATTCATGGTTGGTAGCTCTCTTGGACTAAGGGGCTCTGGATGGGAGAGTATAGATGAGTTCTTAGAAACTGTATTAAGGGAAAAAATGCAATTAACTCACTAACAGAGGAACAGTATTATCTTTCTTCATAGGAAGAATATTGTTAATCATGAAGAGTGATTAACTATTCAACTTGTAGCTCCACTATAAAAAGAGTGAGAGGAAATTAATTGAAATTACATCAGAACAGATTGGATTAGACAGAAGGAAAGACTGCTATACTCTAGACACATTAAAGTTCAAGGCAGAGTCCTACATATTAAAAAAGTATAGCATTATAGAGAAACTTTTCATAGGCAGATCTCTGGAAACCTTTTCAAACCCTTTTTCAGCTAGAATGTGTGATTAGACTACATTATCAGATAAAATCTTCCCATTAATCCTATTAATTACTTTTCTAATGTCAAGTACCAATCAATATGCGAGGTCCTCTATGAATGGAGAGAGAGATAATAATGCCCATTCAGTAATATATTACCAATCAATTTCATGAAAGTCAAACTAAAGGCAAATAGAAATTAATATTAAAGAAAATATCCAGTCACTAGGAATACATAACCACAATATGGGGCATGTGGCTAATTTAGCTTGTCATTAATTGTGGAAGCAGCCTTTCTTTGGTGGAAAGAATTTACAGGGTTCTGGTATTTGATGGGAGGGTTAAAAGAAACAAGTTGTTAAAGGTGTGAGCCTGAGGCAATGAGCAAAACTTGCAAGAGCAGAGATTGAAATAAGAATAGTAAGATCTTTTAAAATATTAACATTTAAATTGGAGTAGATGAAATAGAAAACAATAGAGTAATATAGAGAAAAGTATTGAATATATAATGGACTGCTAGAAGAACAAACAGGTTGCTCCTTAGAGGCAAGCATTCTGAAGCTCCGTCTGACATACTTTGGACATGTTGCAAGGAGGGACCAGTCCTTGGAGAGGGATGTCATGCTTGGGAGGGTGGAGGGACAGTGCAAGAGAAGAAGATCCTTGATGGGATGGATTGTTCAGTGACTGGGGCAATGAGGATAGGTGTGTCAAAGACAGTAAGATTGGCACAGGATAGAGCAGGCTTCAGAGCTGCAATACATAGGGTCATTGTGAGTCCCAGGCGACTTGACACATAACAACAACAACCACCAACAATCATGTGGTTATGGTTCTATAAGAAAGAAGTACTTTGCATAGTGAATTTGATGAAAGGTGTGTGTGTGTGTGGGAGGGGGGAGAAATTATTGACCCTATTCTATCTTGTTTTAACTGTGGTCAAATATTTTAAGAAAGAAATTAAGGATTCTTGTTCAGAAGGTGCTTCACCTTTTGAAAAAGGTTTGCACTTGGTGGCAGGTAGCCAAAATTTTATTCTAGTGGCTTGCTCAAATAACACACTCAGTAGATTTTTGCTTACATGCCATTGGCTATAAAGAAGTCTTACAGTCTACCTCAACTGAAAGGGAGCTTGCTCCTTTAGATTTTGTTTTGGACTTGGAGTATTGTTTTCCTGAGTAGGATTATGGTTCTGCTAGTGAGAGAGAAAAGGGGGAGGGGGACCAAATAACCAGAGTTAGGAAAGGTAGGGAATTGGGTTAACAATTGGTTTTTGTTGTTGTGTACCATGGACTTGGAACCAACTCACAGCTGACCCTCCAGCAGGTTTTTAGAGGCAGTTAATGGCACAGGATGAGATTGCCCACCCTTCTCCTGCAGGGCAGCTGGTGGCCTCAAACAGTGTGCCTTTGGGATTGCAGCGCAGCTTCTTGCCACTAGGCCATGAGAGCTCAACAACTGATAGTGTCTAAAAATAAACATGTCAATCGAAACTTCATGCTTTTGACGAGAGACTTACATCCTGTCAGCTGTTTCTTTTCTATCTTTAGAAAAAAAGGATTGCATTTTTCATCTTTCTAAACTGTCATTGTTGTCTTATTGAAGTCATAATACATTAATTATTGTTGTGCAGTATAGGTTATAATAGAATAATTGTTTTTTGTACTATCGAGTTGGAATTGATCCATAGCTGACCCTCCAGCTGGTTTTCAGAGGTAGTTTATCACACGGCAGGAGATTACCCATCTTTCTCCCACAGAGCCGCTGGTGGCTTCAAATCTTATGCTTTTGAGATTGCAGTGCAGCTTCTTGCCACGAGGCCACCCGAGTTCCCTAATAGATTAAAGGAAAAATATTTAAATAAGTCAAGATAACTTCCTCAGCAGCTCCATATTTTGTTCCTGATAATCTTTTACTTAAGAGCACTACTGGCTGCAATGGTGGGTGAATACAAATTATTGCCTTTGCCATATAAATGTGGAAGCATTTTTGCTGGTGTGTATTTTGTAGTCCATATTCATGAAATGAGACAATAGTTTTATGCTTCTTCAGAATGTGAACCAGTTATTGTACATAATTTTTTTTCTTTAGTAATTTTCAAAGTTTACTTCATATGTATTACATAAATGCATATACAAACACATGTATACACACACATATTCCTTCATGTTATGTCAGTAGGGGATGTCTAGCATGAAAGTGTTTTCCTTCCTATTATTTTCCCCCCATTAACATCTACATTTTTAGAGCAAACAAAATTCAACCAAACGTGAAATTATAAAGATTTAGAAGATATTAGAAGAAAATAAGAACTAGAGATTTCTTCAGAGACAGAAATTGTTTCTATATATTAATGAATTGCATTACTAGTGTAATCTTAACAGTTGCTACAAAATGGCCCTTTAATAACTTCTGATAAATGCAATAGTGATGTTTTGGTTATTTGGATATTCTTTTTTCTTTTTTAAATTGTGATTTTATATTCTTATATATCCTAAGAAGAAAGATAGTTAATTGCTAGGTTTGACATTGAAAATCACTTCTTATTTTCTTTCTTTCTAATAACAGCTACAGTCGAATGCTATAATCCAAGAACAAATGAATGGACCTACGTTGCCAAAATGAGTGAGCCTCATTATGGGCATGCTGGAACAGTGTATGGAGGAGTGATGTATATTTCAGGTAAACAGTTATCATGTGGCTGCAATATATTACATACATTTTTTATTATATAGTCATCTTTCCCTACAGTTATAATAGTAAAGGCCTAGAAAAGTATTTTTGTATATACATTTGTAGGCAACTTTCGTAAAAGTATTAACAATCTAATCTTCTTGTATATAAAAACTTTAAAAGAAAGCTGCTCAGATTCTCCAATTTGTTTCCCCCTCTTCATACTCTGTATTAGTCATCATTCATAGTAACTGCAGTAACGATTAATATTATTTAACAATTCAACATTTAGCTAACGTGTGAAGATATGCATGTCTAGTCTTTGTTACATATATATAGTTATTGTGTATATATAGTTATTGCTGTGTGCCATTGAGTTGGAACTCATAGCTGACTCTGTAGCAGGTTTTCAGAGGCTGTAAGTTGCATGGACAGCGATTGTCCATCTTTCTTTCTTCCTCAGAGCAGCTGGGGGATTCAAACTGCGTGCTTTCAGGTTGGCAGCACAGCTCCTTACCAGAGTGTGCACTTGCTCCCTCTCTTCTATCCCCTCCCCTCCCCCTCCTCTCCTCTTCTCTCTTCTCCTCTCCTCTGCTCTTTCTGAATATGATTAAAACATAGAAAATCATATATAATATATAAAATTGAACATATATCTATGCTTGAGCATGATGGAGATTGTGAGGATCGTGCAGGATGGGGTAATTTCAATCTGTTGTTCATATGTTCATGGTGTTGTTACGAGTTGTAGTAAATTCGGTAACACTTAACAGTAAAAACAACATATATGTTCTATTTTACATAAAAACATATATATATATATATTAGTGCTCATTCTTTCAATTTAGTGTAACCATGATATAGATATTTCATTTTCCTTAGCCTTTTAGTGGAAGTTCAACTATATTGTTGAGTAAATAATTCTGTGCCAATTATCTGTGTTTTGACTACATGCAGATATATGTTTTTCTTAAAATATATATATTTTTTTAATTTTTGCTACAATTTACTCACTGTGCCCCAATAATAACTTTCAAACTCAAATTATCCTTGGGTAGAATTTATAAAGGAATCCTATTTCAATGTAATTGTCACCACTGGTATTATAATATGCCTTTGTTAGGTAGATTCATATATTTTATTTCTGGAAGTTTACCTTTTCTAGTTCTTCCTCCTTTGGAAGGCCTGCTGGTACTAGGCCATCAGTTATGTTATTAGAGAACAAAGGTGTTAAGATGATGGTTGAGGTGTGAACACTGCCTTATGAAATCTGTAATCAAGGAGGATTTGGGAAAAGCCCATAGTGTGTGACTGGCAGGGTTCTGGTATCAAAATCATGAGCCACATACAAGACAGCTTATATGGAAACAGCAATTTAGGAGATCATATGCTTCACCAGTCAGAGAGTTTCTCCATCTTTCTGTTTTATGTTTATAGCTGCTATACCATTTTAACGAGAGCTTCAAATTTTCATTTTTTAAAAAAAGTCTAAATTGCTTTAGTGTTGCTTTGGCGTAACTAGCATGTATTACTGAAACAAGTGTAAGGCAGAAACGAGAGCTAATTTTCAAATGATAAAATGACTTGTTTTCTGGGAATTTTGGAAAGTATAGAAATAATATTAAAAAGCAGAAGAAAGCATAGTAATTGCCAGCTGGGCGGAAGAGAGTAGAACTTTGAATGATGCCACTGAATATCAGCTTTGTCTTTTTCTTGTCTGTAGAACACTCTGACACTTTCATTATAGAGACAGAGTTATGTGTGATCCAGGAATACACTTCATAGAGAATATAGATTCAACAGATCAGCATTGTACTGCTGTGTGTATAAATTTCCACATTCTACTCTGTTAGCTTTCCCAATAAACATTCTGGTGGCAGCTGACCTTCCCCACCCTCACCACTCACCGAAACTCTACAGAAATATAGATCAATTTAAAAGCTTGTCCCATCTCTACAGCATTTTCAACTTTTTCAAAGCTTTTTTTTTTCCTTTTTCTCATTTCATAGTCACAATGCTGATAACTAGAGTGTTGTTGAGTGCTGTCCTGTCAGAACTGAATCATAGTCAATCCTACAATGAGTTTTCAGTGGCTGTAATTTCTATGGGAGGAAATTGCTCTTGTTTCTCCCTCAGAGCACCTGGAGGATTCAAACTGCAAACCTTTGGGTTGGCAGTGCAACTCCTTGCCAGTAGACCATCAGAGCTCCCTTCACTCACTAGAGTGGCTGTTGTTGTATGCTTGTTGAGTCAGAACTTACTCATAGCGCACCCTTTAGTGGCTTTTCAGAGGCAGTAATAACACAGGAGGAGCTTGTGGATTCAAACCTCATGCCTTTGGGTTTCTCTAAAAACCAGAATTATTGTTGTTGCTATGTGCTGTAGAGTCGCCTGCTACTCATAGCTCATGTACATAGCCCTATGTACAACAACCCTAAACCCTGCTCTATCCTGTGCCAGCCTTACTGTCTCCAACACACTTACACCCATTATCCAAGTCACTGAATCCATCTCATTGGGGGGTTCCTGTCCTGCACTGTCCCTCCACCCTCCCAAGCATGACATCCCTCTCCAAGGACTGGATAAGGAAATGAACACCTAGAGACGCTTTCACCCAGGGCTTCACATCCATCCAGAAACTACGCACACAATGCTATGAGTAAGGGGTTCATGTAAGATCATTTTTACTGAAGACTCAACTCTAAAAGTGGCCAAAATGTGTTTTTTAAATCCAGTAGCTCTCCATTTCAGTAAGTGGAGGTGATAACATAAGCTAATATTGTATCCTTAAGATGAAATCTTTCTTTTTAATCCAGAGAAAATATGTATAGGGTTCTAGTTTATAAGAAATTTTTTTCTTTTGGCTTAAAGCCCAGCACATTTATCATGTCACCATTTCTGTAGCTCAAGAATCTGAGGGCAGTGTCTCCTCTCAAGAAGAGTACAAAGCTGTGATCTAGCCATTAGCCAGAGCTGCATTCTCTTCTGAAGATTTAACTGAAAGTGTATAATAGGTTTCTAAGTTTACTGAGGAGACTGTTGGTGGAGTTCAGGCTCTCAGGGCTGTTGCAGTGAGCACCTTGGTTTTTTGCTAGCTATTGGCTTCAGACTTCCCTCAGTTCCTTCACATATGGCAGCTCACAACAGGGAAACTGTCTTTGCATACAGGGTGCAATTGAGAAAGCAAGAAAGCATGTCACAGTTTTTATAAGCCCTTATCACATTTGCTGTATTTGGCCATTATCCATTCATAAGCTGTAATATATGTGGCTAAAAGTTCATTATCTACAACAGAGAGCCTTTTACTTCTGTTTTAAAATAACACTTGGTTTACTTTTCATTCTTTAGGAGGAATTACTCATGACACTTTCCAAAAGGAGCTCATGTGCTTTGACCCTGATACAGACAAATGGATCCAAAAGGCGCCAATGACCACTGTCCGAGGTCTGCATTGCATGTGCACAGTGGGAGAAAGGCTCTATGTCATTGGTGGCAATCACTTCAGAGGAACAAGTGATTATGATGATGTCCTAAGCTGTGAATACTATTCACCTATCCTTGACCAGTGGACCCCCATTGCTGCCATGCTAAGAGGGCAGAGTGATGTGGGGGTCGCTGTCTTTGAAAACAAAATCTATGTGGTTGGTGGGTATTCCTGGAATAATCGTTGTATGGTTGAGATTGTGCAAAAGTATGACCCGGATAAAGACGAGTGGCATAAGGTGTTTGATCTCCCGGAATCACTTGGTGGTATTCGAGCTTGTACCCTCACAGTTTTCCCTCCTGAAGAAACCACACCATCACCCTCTAGAGAGTCCCCTCTTTCTGCACCTTAAGATCACCACTCACACTAAGATGCTGTAGTCCCATCTTTGCAAATGTGTCACATGACTTCTTTTCTCCTCCCCCTTTAGTAGTATATGTTAGAATTAGCCTCCAGTAATTGATACAGCTATCGGGAAAAAAAATTAAAAAAAAAGATGACATTGATGTTATTCGTGCTGTCTGTTTGGCTTAGAATGTTTATAAAGTGATAACACAAACATTCTGGATTGTATCCCATAGAAGCTGGTGTTAAACATATTAAAAAACAAACAAACAAACAAACCCAAGCTATTGTGTATAAAATGTTCATTCAGTACTTTTCTTGATGCTGTGTACTGAGTGTGAGATGTTTGTCATCTTACATTAGAAAGCCCAATAAGTCAAGTTGGAGGTGAATTATAGTAAATGTACAACTGTGTTCACTAGGCTTCAAAGTAAAAGTCGTTCTTTCATCTTTGACTGTAAGATGTTAAAGGGAGGCAGCCAGTGCCAACAGAAAACAATACACACACACACACACAAAAAGGTTGCCAACTCGCATGAGCTACCTCCCTCTTTTCATAAAGTATTTTTGACATATCTGTCAACCCACCTAACTGCGTGGGTGCATTGAGAACATATAAAGTTTCTTAAACACACAGGAGAAATAATAAATAAATTTCACCAATATTAATGAAAAATAAGGCATAACCCACCTACCTTTGCCAAGGGTTTGGGACTTTTGGAGTGTCTGTGAATTCATATACATACATATGAACTAATGAAAACACAATTTTTTTAAATTGGCACTTCAAATAAATAAGTTGGTTTTTTTTTTTTTTAAAAGAATCCTTCTAAAGAGCAGCTTCCATTACAATGGGAATTCCGTATGCACCTATAATAGGGCAACCATACTGAATTGAGGTGGATAAGGGCTAGAAATGTTGAGCAATTTAATTTGTCACTTAGCCAAATTTTACCTTCCAAATGATGTTATACTTTTTCTCCTTTGCTGTTGAGATAACTTACATATTCTATGTATTCTGTATACTCTCAGTTCATAAGGTTATTTAGCACAAAGTGCAGCAGCTTCACCTGGAGAGCTGCTTTTGCTCAGTAAATTCAACTCCCATGTTTTATCTTTTTTTGGTAAATAAAAAAAATCATTTAATGTCCTTGTGGTGTGAGGTTTTGCATTTCTTGTCTGACTCAACTTCTTTTAACTAAACATCTCTGTCTTTTCCCCCTTCCTCTTGGTATTACAAGATTCAAATGATCAAGGCTTAGATAACTGAGTGGCTTGGATGAATGGATGTTACAAGCATTCTTTCAAGGGAAAAAAATAAAAACTAGTTGGCTGCGTCTGACGTCATTGATCAGAACTAATTAACTGCTGTGGTGGGTTAGTGGTAAGGAATCGCACTGCTAACACAAATATATGTAATTTGAAATCTACCAGGTTTTCTGTGGGCGAAAGATGGGCAGTCTACCCCTTTGCTGTTTACTGCCTTGGAAAGCCCACAGGAGGGTCAGCTATGCGTTGGTTCTGACCCAACGGTGCACAACGTGAGGAACTAGTTTGTGAGAAATACTAATTGACTCTTCTTCGTCTCCATGGGAGAATTTCCAGATATGTCTTTACACATGTGCCTACTGAACCCCCTGCTGTGAAGCTGACACTGACTCTCAGTGACACTATTGGACATAATGAGAACCATGCCATAGGAATAACACATTTTGCTTCTCTGGACTAACTACTGGGCTGAAACTACTAATTTTGAAGTTAGCAGCCCTGTGTTTTAACTACTGTGTTATCAGGGCTTCCTTGAACCATAAGACCATTTACATTTGTAAGGTCAGTTTTAATGATCTTCTATAAAATCCATTTTTCCCAATGAGAAGATATTACGTAAAATGGTCTCAGATTTATTGATCATGAAGGGGGGGAACCAAACCACCCCAGGTTTTTAAAAAGGATTATGGGAATAAAGTCAAGACCACATGCCTTATCTGTTCTATTTTACCTGCTAAAGACCTGATTGTTGTGTGTTGAGTACGATGAGTCTGAAAGACCCCTAGCTGTTTTCAGAGGCAGTTATTCGCATGCGAAGAGATTTACCATCCTTCTGCAGTGGAGCAACTGGTGACTTCGAACTGCCTTTAGGCTTGCAGCACAGCTTCTTGCCACTAGTCCACCAGAGCTCAGAAAAAAAATGTGAAGGCTGTTCCAAAATGACTAACTTATCACAATCTTTGTTGGCTAGTGAGTAATTAGCCATGCAGATATCACAACTTCTGTCTTGCGTTAAACATAATGAGGAAAATAAATCTCTATCTATCATCTATCTATCTATCATCTATCTAATCTATCATCTTTCCCTTTAGTGACACTTTTGAATGTTGAAAGAACTCTGGGATGAGTTTGAAATACACCCCCCCCTCTTTCTTAGACAAGGAAGAGTTCGTTTTTAAAGTAACTGGTTCAGCGATTTCAATTCTCTACTTAACAAAACTCAAACTTATTACCTTCGCGATGACCCTCCAGTGGGTTTCCAAGGCTGTAAATTGCTTGGGAGGACATTGCTTATCTTTCTTCCAGGAGCCACTGGTAGATTTGAACCACCAGAGAGAAGTAACCTTTCGGTCAGCAGCACAGCTGTCTAGGGACTAAGCCGCCCGCGCTCTCTTCTCTGCTTATTAAACTCATTGCCATCAAGTCACAACCAACCAACCAACTCATAGGAAACTCTCAGAGGAAGAGGCTGTAAATCACATGGGAGGAGATTGTATTTAGCCATTTGCATGTAGTTAACACCTGCCAAAAACTGAGGGAGTGCTTAAAACAGACATTAATGATTACTCACCAGTCTGATGGTTCATGGGCTGGACGCACTACTCCCAGAAGCAAAGGATCTTTCCATCCTGTGGCTTCTCCCACTTCTAGGTCCTTGGATCCCTCACCATCTCATGAGCAAAAGATGGATGATTGCCGATATGAGGCTTGTAGGCGTCAGACTTGAAAGAAGTATCCATCACTTCTATCCACATTCTGTTGGCCAGGAGTCAGTCCTGTAGCTACAAGGAAATGCAAAGGCAACTGAAAACACATAGCTATGTTCCCAGAAACAAGAGGGAACCGGATTGCTGATCAGCTGGCAGTTTGCCATGGGAAATAACACAAAACACACACAGTACTGTTTGACAACTTACCTTTTCTACATCCATGCCATATGTTATTTAAAGTAGCAATTAATGCCACAGGTTACCACAGGTGCTGTTATTAAACAATTCTAACAGCTGGGAAATTGTTACACATTTTCTGTCACAGTAAATGAACTATTTACCAACAAATGTCTTAAGACAGGGTTTGGCTTTACAAGCATTTCTCACATTTGTCCTTCTTGCATTCTTTGTTTAATGTTAAAAAGGAATTAGAGAATAGCTTTTGCTTTAGTTCAGTAAAATCTCAAAAAAAAGGTTCATAAAAGTCCTTCAACGGTGTCAGTGCCTAATGTTGTTGCTATTGTGTGCCGTCCAGTGAGAACTAACTCATAGCTGACCCTCCAGCGGGCTTTCAGAGGCAATTAAATTGCACATGAGGAGATTACCCATCCTTCTCGCACAGAGCAGCTGGTGGATTCAAAATGTGTGCCTTTGGGATTTCCGCACAGCTTCTTTACACTAGGCCACCAGAGCTCTCCTAGGCTAACTATGAAAGCAAAACCAATTGGGGGGGGGGGGTTGTTGGAGAAAGAGAGATATTTTACTTTAAGGAAATGCTTCACACATTTGTTAGAAGTTGGCAAGTCTCAGGTTCATGGCTCAGATCTTAAGAGAAATGTTATCTGTGGAGGTTAAGGAAACTAGGGTTTCTAAGCTGCAAGCTGGCTTTGGAGGCTGATAAATCCAAGGTTGGCAGGTCCAGCAGGGTTGCTGGTTCAAGGCCAGATGCAGTTGTCAGGTGAAAAGCTGTCTAGCTTTGTCAGAAAGTCAATATGTATAGTCTCTGGAGGTCATAGCCCTGAGGAGACTTCACTTATATCAGGTGGTGGTTGTTGTTGTTATGTGCCGTCGATTCACCTGCAACTCACAGCGACCTTATGTACGACAGCCCTAAGCTCTTCCCTATCCTGTGATAATCTCACTATATCCAACACACCTACCTCTATCACCCCAATGACGGAATCAATCCATCTCCTTGAGGATCTTCCTCTCCTGGGCTGTCCCTCCACACTCTCAATCATGATGTCCCTCTCCAAGGACTGGTCCCTCCTTGCAACATGTACAAGGTATGTCAGACGAAATTTCAGAATCCTTGCCTCCAGGGACCAGCCTGGCTTCACCCTCTCCAGGAAAAACCTGTTTGTTCTCTTAGCAGTCAATGGTATATTCAATACTATTCTCCAACACCATAGCTCAAAGGCATTGATTCTCCTTACATTATTCCTAGTCATTTTCCAGCTCTCTGATGCAAAGCAAGTGATTGCAAGGAACATGGAATGTATCAGGCGCACCTTAGTCTCCAGACGGACATCATTGCACTTCAGTACTTTAGAGAGGTCTGTAACCTCACACTTTCCTATTGCAATATGTCTTTTAATTTCCTGGCTGCTGATGCCAAGAGTGTTGACTGTGGAGCCAAGCAAACCAAAACTGTGAACAATCTCAATCTCTCCACCATCCATCACGATGCTGCCAATCGGATCAGTGGTGAGAATCTTTGTTTTCTTGATATTGAGCCTCAATTCATACTGAAGACTGCAGTCCCTGACCTTCCACAGCAAGTGCTTCAGGTCCTCTTCCGTTTCAGCAAGCAGGATTGTATTATCTGCATAATGCAGATTGCTCATGATTCTTCCACCAATCCTGATGTTACATTTCTCCTCATAGAGTCCAGCCTCACAGATAATCTGTTCTGCATAGAGATTTAAAAGGTATGGAGACAGGATACAGCCCTGGCGCACACCCTTCCCAATTTTGAAACATGCAGTGTTCTCTTGGTCTCTTCTGATGATTGCCTCCTGTTCCAAGTATAGGTTTCTCATTAGCACAGTCAAGTGTTCTGGGATTCCCATTTTTCCTCAGAGTGAGCCACAGTTTGTTATGATCCACACAGTCAAACGTCTTTGCATAATCAATGAAACACAGATGGATATTCTTCTGGTATTCTCTGCTTTCAGCCAAGATTCATCTAATATTAGCTACAATATCCTTAGTACCATGACCCTGCCTAAACCCGGCCTGCACTTCTGGTAGTTCTCTGTTGATGTGCTGTTCCAGTTGTTTTTGGATAATCTTCAGCGGAATCTTGCTTGCATGTGATATTATTGATATTGTTCGATAATTTCCACACTCTGTGGGATCTCCTTTCTTTGGAATGGGAACAAATATAGATCTCTTCCAGTCAGTTGACCAAGTGATTCAGATTTCTTGGCACAACTTGATGAGCACATCTAGGGAAGCATCTGTTAGTAGAAATATGTCAATTGGTATACCATCAATTCCTGGGACCTTATTCTTAACCAATTCTTTCAAAGCAATCTGAACTTCTTCCTTCATCACCATAGGCTCTTGCTCTTATGTTGTTTCATTAAATTCTTCTGTGTCTGCCAGTTCCTTTTGATACAATGACTCTGTATACTCTTTCCATATCAGGTTAGGCTGAACATATCATTACAGTCCTGCCTCATTAACATTATTGTTGTTGTGCAGTCAGAACTCATAACTAACTCTCCAGCAGGTTTTGAGAGACAATAAATTGCATGGAAGATTATTACCTATCCTACTCCCACAGAGCAACTGGTGGTTTTGAAATTTGTGCCTTCAGGATTGCAGTGCAGCTTCTTACCACTAGGCCTCCAGAGCTCCCTCATTAACATAATAGAGGTTCGGATTTGTAACACATAGAATAGTTAGCTTATACTGGGACTCACGAGTTCACGTTGACCCATAATATGAACCATTATGATGGGCAAGGTTTCTAGGGGAGGAGGGATGCAGGGGAGGGTAGAAATAAACCCATAAACCTACTTTGCCTACTGCTCGATTTTTAAAAAATTAATTGCTTTGAGAAGTCAAATTATTTTCTCTCCAAGTTACTTTAGACTCACATTTGGGTCTTTTTTTTGGGGGGGGGATTTTTGTAAATTAAAGATATGTGGTGTTTTATTAGGAG